CTTTCCCCCTGCCCTCTGTCTTTACTGAGGCACTTCCCACTGATGGTTTTGGTTATTGTTTTTCATTTCTTCCTCATGTAGTGTTTTGCTCAAGATGCTTTGCAAAGCTGGTTTTCTGGCTGCAAATTCTTTTAACTTTTGTTTATCATGAAAGATTTTTATTTCGTTGTAGTACCTGAAGCTTAATTTTGCTGGATACAGAATTCTTGTTTGGCATCCATTGTCTTTCGGTGTTTGAAATACATTGTTCCAGGATCTTCTCGCTTTCAGCGTCTGTGATGAAAAATCCGTTGTTAACCTTATTGGTTTACCCCTGAATGTAATCTGCCTCCTTTCTCTTGTAGCTTTTAATATTTTCTCTTTGTTCTGTATATTGGATATCTTCATAACAATGTGTCTTGGCGTTGGTCTACTGTGATTTTGTATGCTCGGTGTCCTGTATGCATCTACAATTTGTATATCCATTTCCTTTTTTATTTCTGGAAAGTTTTCTATAATTATTTCATTCAGCAGTTTACTCATTCCCTTGGTTTGAATCTCTGTACCTTCCTCTATCTCGATGACTCATAAGTTTGGTTTTTTTATGTTATCCCATATCTCTTGGATGTTTTTCTCGTGATTTTTTACCAGCCTTTCTGAGTTGGCTAGACTCTTTTCAAGATGATATATTTTGTCTTCATTATCTGACGTTCTGGCTTCTACTTGCTCCACTCTTTTAGTGATACTTTCATTTGAGTTTTTAATTTGGTTTATAGTTTCCTTCATTTCTAGAATTATTGTTTGATTTTTTTTATAATCTCTATCTCCTGATAAAGATGCTTAACTTCTTCTTTTATCTGTTTATGTAATTCAATTTCAATGTATTCTTTCACTGTTTGAATTTGCTGTCTCATATCCTCTTTAAGGTTCCATTCCATCTGTCTAAGGTATTCCTTGAGTTCTTTATATGACCATTTTTCTGATGACTCTAGGTCCTCCTGAATATTTAGGCTGTCCTGCATTGTTTGTACTCCTTTTCTTCCTTGCTTTTTCATGCTGCTCATGTTACTTCTTGTTCTGTTTGACTGCTGAGTTACTGTTTACTCCTATAAATTTATTTGATGCTTGGGAGGAAAGGTATTAGAAGGGAAGGGAAGAAGTCACTAAAGAGAATGAGAGTAAGCAGGTAGAATTCAAGGAAGGGGGAATAAGAAAATTGAAAAGAAATGAAAAGACAAAAGAAAAAAATGGAAAATAAAAAAAGAAAAAATAATTTAAAAAAAAAAAAAATTAAAATTAAAAAAAAATTTAAAAAAAAAAGAAATTTTAAAAACAAAAAAAAAATGAAAATGAAAAAAAAAACCCAAATTAAAAAAAAATTAATAAATGCAGTCTTAAGAGTTTGATTAACTTCTCTTCCAGGAGGTGGAGCTGTGCCCACCGGGCCAAGCTTCTCCTCTCAATACGCAGGAACCAATCACTGTGCAGCAGCTCCTCCTCCCAGACTGGGCGGGTCTCCAATCCTGAGTGCCTAGGGCTTTCTCTTGTGTCAAGTGACTTCCCCACTTTTCCTCAAGCCAGGCCCCGCTCACCGGTGACGCTCACCACAATACTGGCTACACACCAGGTTTGCTGCTCCCGGGAGCCCTGTTTTCATGAACGACTGGGCACACTCTCCCTGTTTGCCTCCCTCAGACCCTAAGTTTGTAGAGCCTGGGGCTGAGAACGCTCAGCGAAATTTGCTTGCCCTCCAGTAGCCACGCCCCCGGTAGCTGGTGCAAGAGACCTCAGTTGTCAGCACTGGTGGGAGCGGTAGCTGGGAGTTCCGCGCCGCGGTCCCGCACCACTCCTGATTCCCTCGGTCTGGCTATTGCGCTCACAGGAAAGCTGGGAGGGGCCCTTAAGTTTTCCCCGCTGTGTGGAGAGGGAAGGCTAGGGGGTTACACACCTGTCGCCGCTGGTTTCAATGAAGTTATCTCCTCCGCCGCATTCTGGTGACATCAGTTCTCTGCCATGGTGGTATCCCATGCAAATGAAGACAGTTCGTTTCCCTTTGCCGGGTGACCAATGCAACGGGTGGGTCCTGACTGGCTCTCCCAAGCCCCGTTTCAATCCTGTGGCCACTGCCTATGAAGGATCGGTTGGCATTTACCTCCGTAGGTGCAGAAGGGCCGACCAGTTGTTTCAGCGGGATTGTTTAGTGCTGAGTCACAGCAGTTTGTCTGCGAGAAGCAGGCGAACTGGAGCTTGAATTCAGCCGATCCGGGCTCGGTGTTAACAAAGGGCTTTAATCATGCTTCTTCCTCAGTAAAAGAAGAAAAACTGGGCATGGTGGTGCTTGCCTATAATCCCAGCCATTGAGGAGGCTGACACAGGAGGATCTCGAGTTCAAAGCCAGCCTCAGATATTAGTAGACCCTAAGCAACTTAGTGAGATCCTACCAGGAAGGCCTGGGAATGTGACCCAGTAGTAAGTGCCCCTGGGTTCAATCCCCAGTACCAAAAAAAAAAAAAAAAAAGACTTTGATTCCCCTGGTCAAACTGGTCAGACTTCCTGCTCCATTCCTTTAAGCTTACCAAGTTATCTTTATCATCCAGGGTGTTCTGCAAGCTGGTTAACGAACCGTAGATTGCTCAGTGCTCCACCAGATGTCCACTAGAGCCAAGAAGTCTGAAAACCTTTATTTTTATCCAAACTTGTGAAACTACCATCCCTCCCCCCCCCCCCAAAACCCCCCCCTAAGCCCTTTTCGTTTATATAACTGATAAATTTGCGGGCTTGGGTAATACGGGTTCGAGGCTATGCGCCGCCTTCTCCGTTGCTATATGTTCGATTCAACTTTCTGTCTGGCAAGCACCGGTGCTCAGTGGTGATTGGTGTTTGCTGCACCTCGGGCACGCGAATCTGATTTTGGTGATTGGTAACCCCAGAGGAAGGAGGTGGGCTTGGCGGCAGCAGCACCGGCAGCCCACCAGGTGAATGAGCTGCGGCCCCCATCACCTCTCCGAGGCACGCCTGACCCCTCCCGTGGACCTTCGAGAGGGAGCCCAGGCAGATATAGCCGTGACCCCGCCAAAAGCATTCGGCTGCAGCGCAGGGAATCACTGGGACCCTTCTGGAGCATGTTCTGTGCTGCAGCATGGATGCAAGTGCAGACAGCCCCAGGCCTGCCGAGCCCACTACCCGCGCCACCGGAGCCCAACTGCCCCTGAGGAATCCGCGGAGAGAAGAATCTGCCTCGTCGACCCAAACCTGGACGCCCTTGGAAACTAGGTTGGCAGAGCTGCGTGGTCAAAGATCTCCTGGCTGCGTCTTGGATTCCAGCGGTTTCCTGGGCACCCAGCCGGACGACCGGCCCCTCGTCATGCTTTGTGCTCACTCCAAAATTGGTGAAAGATCCTAAGGTCTCTTGGGAGTCTGACCAGGAACATCGACTGGGACAGATGCCTTCAGCACTTCAAGGGGGTTGAGAGGGTTCATCCTCAGGGAGCACTAGATGCTCCACATCCCAAAGAACAGCCTCTTACTCATCCGACAGTTGTCTGTGGAATACCATCTGCCACCTAGGCCAGGGGAAATGCGTATCCTTGGGTCACTGTTATTTCTTCCAATGGGTTTCATTTTATCCCTGTTGGTTAATGGCCTCAAACAAGAATCAGAAGAATTTTTTTTCAATAAGAGCATTAATGTAGACAGGAAATGCTCAAGTCAGTACCAGTGGTGAGGGGACACAGACAGCAACTAAAATGTCAACTTTGAGAACTTCTTCAGTATCCTTATCATCCTAAAATATATGGCATATCAGCTACTAAAGAAAAAAAAAACTAGGAGTCTTAAGCCAGAGCATGCTCAAGGAGGCAGATTGCCCACTTGGGCAGAGCTGTCTTTTCCCCATTGATGAAAAAAGGCCTATGGGCACCTAGGAACTGCTAGTAGTCTGAGACCTAAAGATATGAAGACTATGATGCAAGTATGTGCAGTGCCTGATAGGTTCTCCAGAACAGGAATAGGTAGCAGCAACTCTAGGAGCATTCCCTTGGCAAGCCCAGTCCAGGGTATACAGAGGCAGAAAGTAAGAAAGGGATCCCAGTCCCGGGATGGAAGCAAGTTACCACAGTGGAACAAGGACCAGCCAGGTATAGGACAGGAAAACCAACATTGACCGGGAAAAGGGCAAAAGCCTAGAATGGTTCTCTTCAAAGATGATGTGGCCTACTGACAAAGGAGGCCAGTGATATCTGGCCTTTGAGTGGGCAGGGTGGATTTTGAAATGAGCCTGCAAGCTCAACTAGACCAAGACTTGATTACTCTAGTTTCTGAGGCTCCTGGAGGCAGAATCACCAAAGAACTGATAGGGGAATGAAACCCTGTGAATCCAGGCAAAAGCTCATTCTATGGCAAGAGAACCCATTCTGCCCTTACTCTGGGTATGTGTAAGGCTGTAGTATATTTTACATTAAATGGCACAGAACAAATTTCTAAGACCCTTGGGTTAAGTAGGTGTTAAGGCTTGTCAAATAGCAAATTTCTAATTAAGTGCCTTTTTAGTTCTGCATAGGCCTCTGAGATATGGAAAGAAGATAAATTATCCCCAGGAACTCTAAAACAATTATAATGTTAAGGAAAATAAAAAGTACAAACTCTGTACCAAAGAAGGAATTGAATAGGTAGAAAAGAAGTAAAAGATCACTGTGAGCTAGGTCTGGGGGAGGTGGGAATGGAGAATAAGGATTGTCACTAGAGGAGTTTAAATAGGCATTTTTCCAGTATCTCAAATCTTTAGCATTCACAACCTAGTCTTAATAACTGGGCTGAGCTGGGTCTGGTGGCACACACCTATAATCCTAGTGACTTGGGAGGCTGAGCAGGAGGATCACAAGTTCGAAGTCAGTCTGGGCAACTTAGTAAGAGCCTGTCTCAAATATTTAAAAAATAAAATGAAAAGTGGGGGTGTAGCTCAGAGGTAAAGCTTTCCTGGATTCAATCCCTAATACTAAAAAATAAAAATAAAAAACTTTAAAGTACTCACTTCATTAGCACATATATTGAAATTGGAATGATACAGAGAAGATTAGCATGACTCCTGCACAAGGATGACATACAAATTCATGAAGCATTCCATATTTTAAAAAGGACACTACTCAGAAGGGGCCTGCTCAGATATAGAGCCTGCTCACACAGAGGTTGTTCAGAAGGGAACAGTTCAACTGGAGCTGCCTCCTTCCATAGGACCCTCCTCTTTATTATTATTATTATTATTATTATTATTATTATTATTTATCAATGCACCTTTATTTTATTTATTTATATGCAGTGCTGAGAATCAAATCCAGTGCCTTGCACATGCTAGGCAGGCACTCTCTACCACTGAGCCACCGCCCCAGCTCCAGATCCTCCTCTTTATAACAAGCCAATTCCCAAAAAGACTCCTCCTTAAAAAGGTAACAGAAAGTAAAAGTTCAACATGCATAATGAAATGGCACAAGCCCTTACTGAAGTTGGCTCAGTGCCTATTAAAGGTGGCCAGCTTCTAAAGGAACATAGAAGCACACAGGAACTTTTGGCACCATCACCAATGCTGCCAAAGGAAAACTTAAGAGGAGGCAAAAGACCAAACATCATTCTCTGAAGATGAAGGAAACAAAGACCCTCTTCTACAAGTGGGAGCAGAAGAGGCAGAGAGGAGTGTGGCTGATGCCTGTACCAAGGCATCTACTAGTGTTTCATTTTCTGGCAAAAGTTGAATATACCAGAGGGTGAAACTTTAGATGATAAGCATCAGACTGATTCAGCTGTGTTTTGTGATATGGAAATGGACACTGATCAGAACCCAACAGAGAATCTCTCAGGTATAGACTCAGCAGTTGAAGAAGCAGTTTCCGAATGGCTTCTTTCCCCACCACAAGAAGAAAACAAAGCGGTTTTCTGCACCAGCTTCACCTTCTGTTACTATGACAGCAAATGAGTCCCAGGAAATTGATTAAGATGAAGGCACCCACAGTCAAGATGAAAATGACCTAAGCGACAACATGTCGGAGGGTAGTGAGGATTCTGGACTGCATGGAACTTTACAAAAGATGCAAAGGACAGTCTTGGCAGTCAAAATGACTGAGGGAGATTTTGTTTGTATCTTCTTATGATCATTCTTTTAGAAAGGAAAAAAAAAATTACAGCAAACCCCTCAATTACCACTGGTTAATGTGTACTTTCTTGAAAAAGCAGCTAAATGGCAGGAGTAATTAAACTTTGGACTAGGTTGCAGTTTTTCATTTGTAAGGGCTATAACTTTTTATGTTCATTTATAGTAGTGGAACAACCTTTTATGATTGCTTTAATTAGTGTCCAATGTTGATTTTTAAGAGGCATCCTTTTTCTTAGAACTTCATGTATAACTATTGATTGTTGTATAAATTATAGCAAATCCAAGGTAATTAGTGTAGTAAAACCTGCAGATAAGTAAATCTATTTAGCTTATGTTTTCAATTGAAATGAGAAGGCCCTGATGGGATAATAGTATTCGATGGCTTTGTTACAACTTGTCAGTTTTTCTCTCTGTCTTATATATCACTTTAATTTAAAAATTGGCTTAATAACAAATTACTTGAACAATTTGAATGCTTTATATAAAGTTATCACTTTAAGAATTTTTTCAAATATTTATTTTTTAGTTGTAGTTGGACACAATACATTTATTTATTTACTTACTTAGTTAGTTACTTACCTATTTATTTTTATGTGGTGCTGAGGATCGAATCCAGGGTCTCCCACATGCTAGGTGAGCGCTCTACTGCTGAGCCACAATACTGCCCACTTTAAGATTTCTTTAGAAATGAAAAAAGACATTTAAATTGAAGAAAAATTCACCCAACAACAGATATCATATTAGTCCAGGTATTTACTTTCTGAGTTTTGATCAATATTTTTTTGTGTTAATCATCATGATTTTGGTGTATTCTTTTGTTTTGGTGCTTTAATAGCTTAAGATGTTGTACATTTCTTGTAACCTATGCAGTTATACTTTTCTAGAAATAGCGTTTGTGGTGATCAGTAACACTTTATACTCATGTTTATTTTGACCTCTTTGGAGGGATGCTTTTAGGCTTGTTTGCAAAAGGCAGTTTTCTTTTTTGCAGAATAATAAGTGTGTGCAGGTTTGTGAGCAAATGAAACATGCAGGTTCAATCCATTCATTATGATTTTCTTATCTTATGTCTTGTCAGAATCTGTATTTCACATTAAGTTATTTATTTTGAATGAATATAGTAAATTCACAGAGCTCTCTCTCAATTTTGCAATAAATGAACCACTGGAATTAAAAAAAAAAAAAGTAGGCTCTCAGTTGGGCATCACCATAACTGCAAAGGAGATCTACCCTCTGAGAGTACACTTGGACAATCAGTCTGAAATGAAAGAAACTTTTTTGGTATAAGGTGGAAGTTTTGTTAGCTTAATTTTACTGTATAAATTGGGGGTTTAAAAATACCTTGTCATCAATAGCTAGTAAAATATTTGTCCTAATAAAATACCTCTAAAAGCAGAAAACAGTTTTACGGGCACAAATGCTCATCTCTTTTGTACTCTTTAATCAGCTAAGAAGAGCCCATAGAAAAAGTAGTGAGAAAAATATGTCATGTGTGACAATCAAGAATTATCTTCAAGTATTAAGTGCAATAATGATCATGAGAAGCAAAACAAACTTTGAAGCAATAGAGAGGATGAATAATCTGTCCTGAGGAAAAATCCAAAGATCAGCTGTGACCAGTGTGAAGTACCTTATTTACTTCCAGAGAAACTCCACTAAATGTTAAAATCTTTAGCAAAATAAGAGAAATGTTGGACCGTAATGTCATTTTTAATAATGAAGTAGCCAATGTGAGTTCTTACTACTTGCCAGATCTTCTAAATTCTTTACTTTCATTAGTTCAGTTCATCTTTGCTTATCAAATTATAAGCACTACTGCATAAACATGTGTCATTTGCTATAGGAGCAGTTACCAAGAACCTGACCAATAAGCTGAAGAATCTGAGCTGACTTAAGTTCATCTGTATTTTGACAAAGGATGCCAAGAGCATTTAATGGGGGGAAGGACAGTCTTTTCAACAAATGTTGCTAAGAAAACAATGTCCACATGCAAAAAAAATGAAGTTGGACCCTTACCTTACAAAATATACAAAACTTTTTTTTTAGTACTAGGAATTAAAACCAGAGGCACTCTACCACTGAGCTATATCCCCAGCCCTTTTTATATTTTTTATTTTGAGACAAGCTCTCCCTAAACTGCTGAGCATGGTCTTGAACTTGCAGTTCTCCTACATCAGACTCCTGAGTCACTGGGATTACAGGTGTGCACCACCACACCTGACAATGCTAGCCTTCTTAACCTATTGACATATTTCTGACTACTGTCTCATTTATTTATTTTGATTACTATAATACCACATTATTACAAACTGATCCTTTTGTAAATTGACCTTAGTGGTCAATTAATGAATGATTGCAGTGTTTTTCAAACTGCAGATTGTTACTCATTAGAGGATGGTGAAGTCAGTTTAGTTGATGACAATCAATACCCTTTAGGGAGTGTAGCTTAGTGGTTAGAGCATGAGCTTATCATGTATGAAGCCCTTAATTCAATCCCCAGCACTACAAAAGAAAAATCACTATCCTGTACGTCAAATCAAATAGAATAAACGTCTATTATTTTAAGATACCTAACTGTAATTTAAAATATATTTTTAGGGGCTGGGATCATGACCCAGTGGTAGAGTGCTTGCCTGACATGTGTGAAGCACTGGGTTTGATCCTAAGCACCACATAAAAGTAAATAAATAAAGATATTGTGTCCCTCTACAACTAAAAAAGTGTAGAAACTATTTTTAAAAAATAAAATAAAATATATCTTTTACTATGAGTCCAAGTTTTTAAAAAAACATAAGAAACATATATGGTGTATTCAGATCTTATATTTATAAATAATCATTAAGAAAACTGTCAGGACTGGAGTTGTGGCTCAGTGGTAGCGTGCTTGCCTGACATGTATGAGGCCCTTGGTTTGATCCTCAGCATATAAATAAATAAATAAACTAAAAAATCCATTGGTGACTAAAAAATATTTTAAAAAATAAAAATTTTATCTGTATTTGGGGTAAAATTGGGAGTTCATAACCAACTTGAATCTAATGTATGAAATATGATATGTCAAGAGCTTTGTAATGTTTTGAACAACCAATAAAAATAAATAAAAATTTTAAAAAAGAAAAGAAAACTGTCAGCCACCTACCCAGGAGGCTTAAGTAGAAGAATCCCAAGTTTGAAGGCAGCCTAGGAAACCTAGCAAGACTCTACCTCAAAATAAAAAATAGAAGGGATTGTAGATGTAGCTCTGTGGTAGAGCACCCCTAGGTTCAATCCCCAATAGAAAAAAGGAGGAGGAGGAGGAAGCCATAACTAAGGCACTTCTTAACTACTGACAGGGATGTTCTTGCTACCACTAAGCTACATCCCCAGCTCTTTTATTTTTTTGAGTCAGGATCTTGCTAATTTGCCTAGGCTGACCTTGAACTTGTGATCCTCCTCCCTCAGCCTCCTGAGATGCTGGGATTGTAGGTGTGCACCACTATGCCAACTGTTAACTGGATTTTTTTTTTTTTTCGTACCGGGAATTGAACCCAAGGGCACTGGACCACATATCCCTAGGCCTTTTTATTTTTTATTGAAATAGAATCTCACTAAGTTGTTCAAGGTCTTGATAAATTGCTGAGACTGACTGAATTTGTGATTCTCCTGCCTCAACCTCTGGAGTTACTGGGATTATAGGCGTGCACCACCACACTCAGCTTATTTTTTTTTTAAAGAGAGAGAGAGAGAGAATTTTAATATTTATTTTTAGTTTTCGGCGGACACAGCATCCTTGTTCGTATGTGCTGCTGAGGATCGAACCTGGGCCGCACGCATGACAGGCGAGCGCGCTACAGCTTGAGCCACATCCCCAGCCCCCACACTCAGCTTATTAACTGGAATTATTAAAAAAGCAAAACCCATTATCAGATATTAGGATAACCTGGGACATAGCTGGGAAAAGTGCTTGGTGCTTTGATCAGCTCTTGGAGTAAGGGGGTCCTCTGTGA